AAAAAAAAAAAAAAAAACGAATAGCGGTTACCCCCGAAACTTGAGAAGATCCTTAAAATTTCAATAATCTTTTTTCTAACTTTTCCTAATACTACCTACCTATGTCACAAGTTTATCCGTAAGTTGAAGTACAAAAATTTAAACTTCCGCCTTGAAGAAAATCTTTTTATATACATGCCACATAACAGGAGAAGAACAACTCTACAAACACCGCACAAATCTTCCACACCAACCATGCAGATCACAACTGGTTAGCTCAGTAGTCGCATTTACTAACTATCAAACCGTTATGAGAACAATTAAGGACCAGAAATAAGTCTGTTTCAGGTGGTTCAAAGTGAATAATTTTGAGAAAACATGAGGAAAATTTCTCCGTTGCACCAGAAACCAACAACACATTCAACAGGTAGCCCTGAATCGAACAGACCTAACAACACCAAAATTCACTCATGTATATTTCCTCAATCCATCCTTTTGAATTTCCACATACCTTAACGCAAAGCAATATTTTGCTAACCTGAACCCTCTTTGAACAATTGAAAAAAAACTGATGAAAAATGCAGAAGGACTAAAATACAAAACACCGTACAGACAGAAAAACTCAGAATTTGAAAAGTCATTCTGGGATGTTGTCATATAGGCGAACTTCTGTGTCGTTCAAATCCGCACAAAATTTAAAAGAAAATTTGTACATACTTGCATAATAATTTAGTGTGCTGCTTTGATCCTCTTTCTCCATACCAAAATATTCTCATGAAGTACAGTTAAGAAAAGTGAAACAGTATGAAGTTTTTGTCCAGAACTGCCCAAAATTGGAGTAATAATGGGCCTTGATTAAAGCTTTAATGTCAGCGATCTTTAACATACAAAATTTAAAGAACAGAAACTGCACAAGGAGAAATCTTCTAATAACCAAATCAAATTTGAAACTGCAGAACAAATGGCAGTCTTTCCAAACAATCGTTAAAATCTTTTCGACTTCCTATAAAGGCACATGTCTTAGCGTATTTAATTTCCAATTGAAATCAACATCATGTATATAATCATTTTTAGACTGCAAAAGGCGCAGTTACGAATGACGTTTACCCTAAGAGTTCTCCAAAGTTACAACTTGCAAATTTCAAAAACTCTTCGTTTTCAATAAACGACTTATTGGAAAGTGGTCTAATAAATCTATAATTTAAAAACGCAAAATTACAGGAAGACCACTTAACATAGGTACTCCTTGATCCGGTTGTTTGACCGTAGAAAAGGACATTCCTCATAATCGTTTACATTTAAAATTCCGAGGTGTGCCAGGCCACCTTAAATTTTCCTTACTCTAATTCCCTTATACTTTTGTATAAGCTTTCTATCGAAAAGTACGCATTCAAACTGTTATCGAGATTTTGAGGTTTGTTTTAGTAGCTGTTGCATCCAACATCATAAAGTTTTAGCAAATCCAACTGATTTTGTTTACTTTGCTTAGAGAAACGTCATTCCTTTCACTGATTAATTATTATACAACAAATAAGCCAGTATTTATCTAAAAAGTGATTTTATGCTTTCAACCACTCAGATCTTCCGTACCATCCAAGTAGATCACAGTTGGTTAGCTTAGTAGTCGCATGTACTAACTAGTGAACCGTCATAAGTGAGGTCCAGAAATAAGTCTGTTTCAGGTGGTTAAAAGTAAATTATCGCGAGAAAATGGGGAGGAAATTTTTCTGTTGCACTAGAAACCAACGACACATGCAATGGGAAAGGGATTTCAAAGGATAAAAAAGGGTGAAAAAAAAACTTTCGATATGAAGCATTACAGTTATGAACTAGTTTTCAGATACAATAGGTAGATGGGCTCTAAAAATATTCTGCTAATTTAATTTACAAAGCAAATAATGCCATTCTGACATCATTAGAAATTTTCCTTCACATTTTCTCAGAATACTGTAACTTTCTATTTGCTGGTCTACGAAAAAAAAATTACAAAAAATCTAAAAAAGTTTCCGTAACAGTCAGAGGACGGTCAATCCCCAATAGCAGTCGTTTGTCATCAAAACCAGTGTTTCATCTTTTTGCATGCACCGGCTTTAGCTGTAAACAAGTATTAACTGGATGAAACTTTCTCTTATTTAAAGTAAGAATAAAAATGCATTTTTGATTATTAACCAGTAAAATTGGCATGCAACACCGTGAACTCCTTAATGAAAAAGAAAAAAATCAATGCTTTACCACCACAGCATTTTCCTCTATTCCTCTCTCAAACAAACCAATCTCATCAGGCTCTTGATCTGTTAAAGATATTAAATTAAAAGTTAGTTGACGGTAGGAAAAAGTATATACGTTGTTGTGACTAGCTTGTTAAGCTCCTTTTTTTTTCGTCTTACGCTAGAAAGAAAAGATTATTTTTAGAACAAATCTACGAAAAAAAAAAATAAGGGCCGAGACTGTAAGTGATAAATCTGGATGTGCAACGATTTAAAAACTTAGGTATTTAAAGTCAAACATTTTTATTAAGGAGCTGCCTACTTATTGATTTTTTTTTAAGCATCAGAAAAATTTTGACAGCCAAATTTAAACGGAAGCAGTGAAAATCTGCATCTGAAATGCTTGGAATTTGCAGCAATAAAAATTTACTCTCCTCATGAATCAACTTAAATAAAAAGCAAAGAAAATATTTTTAGGAACTTAGGTAAATGTATTAAATCGAGAAGATACAATTAGGTGTGCTGCAGAAATTCATGTTTCCAGTATGTTAGACGAAAGGTTGATTAGAAAGGAATTGCCGATGCTATAAATTTTGGATAATTATCATATCTCTAATAATATGTGCATTTAAACACCGAATGCAAGTTCCAGTAGTTGCAAAGGCTTACGTGATACTCAGACTGGAACCTATAAAGTTATACACATATCTATTTGTAAACTCAATTATATGTATATGTACATTTACATGTATGTGCAAAACTGAGACGCTGGCGGAACCTGAACGGGTTTTCTGAAGCGCAAACGAGACGTCTGGCAATAGCAAGTAACGTTAGTTGAATTTTCGGCGAAAATAGCAGCCGTTGGCGCAAGGCCAACAAGTGGTATGTCGTTGTTGGCTGCAAAACCAGGAGCTATTCAGTAGGCATATGCGAGAAGTCTTAAACAGATCAGCTGCTTACATCAAGCGGAACCTATCTTCTTGTCCAGTAAGTATTTTTGCGGGATTTTAATATTTTTAAAACATTTTTTTATTGCAGTCTAAAACTTTTTTTACTGTCTAAAATGACTACTTTTTTTATCTTTACTGGATTCACTTCCAAATCGCTGAGTGAAGGTAAGAGACTTTAACTGTCTGGCATTTAATTCTAGCTTTCAAGGGGAATTTTTTTTTTTTTTGAACGTTAAAAGCGGGAATATTCTCATGCCGTTATGAAGTGTTAAATCTTAATAATTATATTTTTTGGTGTTATCACACAGTGCATCACTTCGTTTTTTTTTTTCCTTTGAGTTTTGTCAAAAAGTTTTTAATTTTTTTTTCAGTCTATAAATTGTTGCTATCTGTCCATTCCAAACGGAGAAAATAGAACTTTTATTTTGACAAAGTATGCACTCGGTTTTCTAGTAGTTTTAATTTAAATATCGTGAATAACTTTTTTTTTAAAATGAACTTTACGCAGTTAACAAGATACTGTTTAGACATTGTATGGAAGAAAGAAATGTTCATCAGTTCGAAAGAGAAAAGACGTTGATGGAAACCTTCCTTTCTCAAGCTTCAAGCTCTGAAGTTTTCCCCACGGATGTTTTATTTATACAGCGTAGCTACAGTGATTCAGAGAATTTTGAAAACAAACAGTTCTTTCGGAACTCCTTTTCAGTATGCGTTCACCTAAGATTGTTGAATTTTTTAGCCGACTGTTTTGAAAACTTTGGTTATGTTTCTGTGCGTGGTTTTTGTAGTGAAGTTTTTGGAATAGATCACGATTGGTCGGTATAAATTTAAAACTGACTTTTGGAGAAAATTTCTTTGGTTTTTGACAAGTTTAGTTTGACTTTTTAAGTATCAATCTATGGTTCCAGGATGCAAACTAAAGCAAAAATTTATTTAATCGCTGCACTGTTTTTGTACTACTGGCTTGTTTTTTAAAGAACGATGAAAACAATGATAGTGGAAAGAATTATCGCTGCGGTACCAGTGATAGTGGATATGTCCGTGACAGTGGCCAGTTATTTGCGAGTTTCGGACCTGATCGTGAAGAGCAGCGAAGTGAATTGGCGCAAGCTTTTACTGGTTCTGTAGATTTTGATGATGTTGAACCTCAGCAGTTGAACCATTTTGTGGATCAGAAGATCGACCAGCCGTCTATCAGGATTGCATTAGGAGGTTCATCTTTCAGTGTTGTTGTTTGCAAAATGTTCAGCTTTTGTGATTTCGATGAGGTTAAAGCTGGCAACAGCCTTGTGTACTTTTTTCTAGAGCCTTTAACTTTCATAATGTTTTATTTTCACAAATTCTTTTGGGGTTTTTTATGGAGTTCTCAGTTTTTGATACAGTAAGAGTTCACTTGAATTACATTACCTTTTGTCGATCTTCCTGCTATTGGGTCCTGCTGGATAAGTCAGCGAGAGTTTTTAATTTTATATTACTTCGTTTCATTGAATGCTGCTTATTTTGTCGAAAGTTGAATTTAAACTGCTTTCGTGTTACTGGGCATAAAAAGACTGATGAAAAATATATTTTTGGAAAGAAGTGGAAGCAGTAAAATTAGTTTTATATGGTTGGTTTTTTTAGTTTATGGACAGTGCTAGTAGGATGTGACATTTGAAATACTCTTTCACTAAAAAATTGTGTAAAACAATGTTTAGTATGTTGATATGTTATTGTA